TGACTGTATTTCTTTGTTACCTAATTGTTGCCTTGGTTAACTCCTTTCTATACAAAAAACTTAGAAATCCTAACAAATTGTCACAAGGAAGGGCTGTCAAGTTTAAACAATTACAGATTCTTTGACTTCAGTCTGGATTGTCTGAAAGATTTAGGTCTGTGTTCTTTGAGTTGAAGTTTCAAAAAAAGGTTTGTCTCTTGTATTATGTTAAAGTTGAGAATTTTCATCTTCTATGCCTGAATGTTATGGTTTCCTTCAGGACATGTCCTTTTAATTTACTGCTTAGTTTTTAATTATGTCCCTAACAAAAGAACTGCATAACATTCAGAGCTTTTTAAGAGACAACTTCATCATTATGAAGAGAGAAATTTTTATTAATACTATCTAATTGTCTATGAGGTGAAGCATGACAGACTAAATCAACTAGAAATCAAATCCATACAAATCTGGATTCTAATTTAGGAGATGATTATTTATTATATTAGTAGAAAAAAAGTAACTATTGAAAATGCTTACAAGGTCATTGTAATGGCCTTTTCAGTCAGAATCTCAAAATTAGTATGAAGCAGTACTTGAAAAGTCTATGAAGTTTTAGGTTTTTTTCCCGAAGCTTATCTTTTTCTTGCTCAGGAGATGGTTGGCCATTATCCTTAATTAAACCAAGAACTGTTTTACTTAGGTTAGGTGTTACTTCTATACTGGAATAACTGGGTTCCTTACTCTAATGAAACATAAGTCTTTTCCCTCTCGTGTTGCATGGCTTGTTAGTATAATTCAATATAAAATGTCTGACATTGAAACTTTGTAGATCCTTCAGCAATAAAGATAGGGACTAATACACTCCCTAAAAGCATTTAAAAGTTTGTCCCTAAAGTTTGTTGACAGTTTTCATAGAACAATTTTTTATTTATAAATAAAATTTGGTATAAATAATTATCTTTTTCTTTAGATCCCCTTCAGTATTAATCACTTAGATGTTATTGATCTCACAAACCCTATCTCCAATACATGCTCACACTGTTTTATCAGGGCAAGACAGGTTTCAGCTGTTAAGTCCTTTTGAGGAAAAAAGTAGGTTCAAAAAAGTGGTAGCTTCTCCAGTTCATTGTCAGCCTGGGAGAATGAAGCACTCCTCTGTGCTGATGTTTGCTGGCATTAAGGAGGGACACAGGAAACTAGGTGACTGGAAAGCTACAGTTCAACCATTGACAAAGTCTACTTTGTAAGGTTATGTGTTTCTTACTTTTTTTTCTTTAGTAGCTCCTGAACTCTATCATACCTATTATGTAAACAGGAATTATGCAAGAATGTGTCTAGTACCAAATCCATACAAATCCATACAAATCCATTGAAAGTGTTCACTAGTCAAATAAATACACTTTAAAGGTCAAGGGGCTAGAAGACAAAGTTTCTGTTGTCAAGTGGCTTGAACTATATTCTTTTAAAAGAGGAAAATATACAGTGCTCTTCCATTGTAACACCTTAGAAGGTTATGATATTAATCTCACATAAATACCGAGACATATTTCAACACTGATGATTTTGCCTATTTTTTTTAAAGAACAGGTAGTGCCAATGAAAAATACCAGAGTTCTGTACCAGAAATTAAAGATATTAACAAAGCGACTCCCAATCCAATTTATTACATTGTGGTTAATGTGTAAAGGAAATCTTTTCCTTACCAGGATATAGCTTGAAGGGTCATTTTCTTGAATATGAGAAATGAAAAGTAATTAAAACTTTTACATTGGACATGGAACAACTTTATTGATATTTATACATCTTTACGTTTGTACAAATTGGGAAACAAGATGATGGAGAGCAGTCCTGTGGAAAGGGACCAGGGGGTCCTGGTTGAGAGCAAGTTGAATATGAGTCAGCAGTGCCCTGGCAGCCAGGAGGGCCAACTGTGTCCTGGGGGGCATCAGGCAAAGCATTACCAGCCTCACCTTGAATATTGTGTGCACTTCTGGGCACTGCAATATGAGCAGGATGTAAAAGTAATAGAGTGTCCAAAGTGGGGCAGGCAGTGGATCTCTTCTCTCTGGTGACCACTGACAGGACCTGGGGCAATGGTGTGAAGTTCAGTTAGGTTGGATACTAGGAAAAACATTTTTACCAGGGGGGTTGTTGGGTGCTGGAACAGCCTCCCAGAGAAGGGCTTACAGCATCAAACCTGACAGAGTTCAAGAATCATTTGAACAACACTCTCAGGCACAGGGTGTGATTTTTGGGGTTGTGCTGTGTAGGGCCATGAGTGTCCTGTGGCCATGCACAGGGCAGCCCTAAAAATCATATCATGTGCCTGTAAAAGGATCATCGAGTCCAGGAGTTGGACTTAACGATCTTTTTGAGTCCCTTCCAACTCAGGATATTCTATGATTCGAAGCAGTTAACTTTGAATATGTAATAACAAATCACAAACTAACTTTTTGTGTTTGTTGCCTTTTAATTTCAGTACACATCCACTGGCTCTGTGGGGTTTTTTGTTTGTTTGTTTGTTTTTGGGGGGGTACAAATATATTTTCTGTTTTCCAAAGGGAGATTATGTCATGATTTCTCTAATCACGTTTTATATCTAGGTTTCTCAGCACCTCTAAGATCTATGGCAATCCTTTCCCATTTCCAATTTGTGCTGTATCTTCTTAATTACTGAGTGGCCAGAACTGAAGAGATGAGAAAATAAAGTTGCACTATAACTTTAAGTTCTTACTCCGTTCTCTCCTAAAAGCAATTTAACATTCCTTCTGACATTTGACAGGTTGCACATTTTGTGCCAATTTTTTCATTAAGTTGTCACATTGCTAGCTTTTTAGGATAACAGATGTGACCACAAACTGTTTTTGGCTAATGACTGGCTGAGCCTATAGGATGCTGTTGGCACAACAACATACTAGTCTTCATTTGGATGAGATGATTTGCTTACTTTTGTTGCTGGGTGAATATGCTAGGAGGTCCTAGTGGATGCTCTGCAAGCCCTTACCTGTGGCTTGCAAAATGCTTTATGGGCAATGTGATCCCCATTGAACCATCAACTGCTTAGAACTCTGACATGAAATTTATCAGATAACTCGGATACTTTTCACAAATTATCATAAAACTTAATATGGTCCAGTAGTTTGCTCTGTAAATATAGCTTTCTTAGAAACATAGAACAGTGAATTAAATTTCTTTTTTTTTGGTAACTATATTTCAAAAGTGGCCATAGTATTTTGGTTTTCAAAAGTACACCTTCATTCACGTAAGCTCAAGGGGTTGACACTGGTTGCCTAAGCTACCCATTTGTTACTTCACTGTTTTCCCTTGCTACTATATAAAACAGGCCACAAAAAGATGGTTGAGCATGTCAGAGATTGATGAAATTGATGTTTTGTTGTACAAGATAATTAACATTCATGGAATAGTATAAAAATTTCTCCTCATATTGACTAGAAATTATACTATTCTGTATTATTTCTATGTTTGTGTGTATGTAGTAGTGTGTTTCCTCTGTTAGGAGGAAAGATAAGGAACCAGTCAAGGCCATATGGCTGCTGCTCAGCTTATGTGCATCATCTTCATGATAAATTACTCTCTGTTACTTTATATACTTTTCCAGTTCAGTGGGTTGACCCTGGTTGGAAGCCAGGTGCCCAGCAAAGCTGCACTGTTGCACCCCTCATTGATTGTACAGAGGATTGAAAATATAACTAAAGTTTTGTGCATTGAGATAAGATCAAGGAGAGATTACTCAGCAATTACTGCCATAGACAAAACTGACTCAACTCAAGGAAATTAATTTATTTATTAGGGGTCAAATCAGAGTAGGCTAATGGGAAAAAACCCCAAACTTTAAAACACCTTTCTCCCACTTCTCCCTTCTCCCTTGGTTTGACTTCACTCCACAATTGCCTCCCTGGCAGTGATGCATGGGGAACAGGCAATGGGAACGATAGTCAGTTCATCGTGTTGTCTCTGCTGCTGCTTTCTCCTCATGCTCTTCTGCTCCATCATGGGTCCCTCCTGTGGGGCTGCAGTTCTTCATGAACTATTCCAGCTTGTGTTCCTCCTACCAGATGGTCCATCAGGAACAGACTGCTTCAACATGTTTTCCCTGTGGGCTCACAAGTCCTGCCAGCAAACCTGCTCCAGAGTGGGCTTCTCTCTCCTCAGGGTCACAGGTCCTGCTGGGAGCCTGCTCCAGAATGGGCTTACCACAGAGTCACAGGCTCCTTCAGGCATCCACCTGCTCTGGTGTGGGGCCCTCTGCAGGCTGCAGGTGGATCTCTGCTCCACTGTGGCCCCCCATGGGCTTTTCAGGGCTACATCTGCCTCACTTCAACTCTGGAGCCTGGAGCACCTCCTGCCCCTCATTCTCCACTGACCTTGGTGTCTGCAGAGCTGTTTCTCCCTCATATCTTGATCCTCTCTTCCAGCTGTTGTTGTGCAGGTTTTTTTTCCCCTTCTTAAATTACCCCAGAGGCTGTGGTGGTTTGAAAAAAAGCCTTTCCCCAGGGGGTATTGTTTTTAATACTGCACCAATTGAAAGCTCATGTGCCCTGTGGAAATTACATGCTCACAGAAACGGAAGAGGTTTATTTTTTAACTGCATAGCCAGAAGGAGAAGCAGACATGCCTTCAAGAGCCACGTGTAGTGTTGGGCCAGGGGGCCCCCCACCCCAGCTTCTGACCACTGGGGCTGGGCTTCTTTCCTTTCCCGGCCCTAACTCGGTGGGACTTGGCACGGCTTTGTAGCTGAGCCAGGATGCTGAGTTAAGACTGTGCTGCCTTCCCACTGTTGGGGAGGAAAACGGTAGCGAGGTGCCCGATTGACCAGCCAGAGGGCTGCAATCAGCAGACAGACACAGCACTGGAGCAGAGCCAGCGCAAGTCGAGGGGTGGCCAGAGAGAGCCAAGCTGAAGAGCCCTGACCTTTGGAGAGGTGGCTGCAGCATACAGTCATGTAAGTACTGAGGGGAGTCTCCCCCCCGGGTTTGGGGGAGCCTCTGGGCCCCCACTGTCCTGGCTCAGCCAGGACTGAGGGAGTTAAACTCCTTGGGAGTTTTCCAGTCAACCTCATCGCCTTTTCCCACCGTGGGGGAGGAGGAGTGATGAGAAACTGGCTGGACCCTGCAGCAGCAGCGAATTGGACCAGTGAATCCGAGAACAGAGAGAGAGAGAGAGAGAGAGAGATTCAGTTGGACTCATTTCCAGGGTAAGAAATTGAACTAAACTAAAAACCTTAGTTTAATTGACCTCCTCCTTGACCCCGGGAAGGAGGGGTGGAAATCCCCCGAGAGCTCACTCCCCAGGGGCCGGAATCTCCGAATGCGAAACTTTAATTCCTTGCATTTTGTGCTGCAGAAGAAAGAAGAATTCTAGCTGCAACAGAGCAAAACTGCTGTCTTAAAAATAAGAGACACCAGTGCTGCAGAAAATTAATTTGGAAGAGCTGTGACCTGAAAGTGAAAAGAGGACTTCTCCTTTCTTTCTGGACTCTTTTTTGAAGGAAAGGAAAGATGATCTATGTATATCTATTGTTTCACTATAGAAGAGATAGTTAAAATTGTTATATATATTTATATATGTATATGTTAATAATAAACTGTAATATATTCCCTTCCCCCTATACTAAGTTGTGCGTGTCTGAAAACTTCTTCTCTCTCACATTTGAACAAATTGTAGCAAAACTTTTAAAATTAGCTTTTTGAAATTCCTGTTTTTCAAACCACCACAGAGGCACTACCACTGTGGCTGACAGGCTCAGTCTTGACCGCAGCTGGCATTGACTCTGTGGGACATGGGGAGGTTTCTGGCATGTTCTTACAGAAGCCAACCCAGTAGCCTTTTGCTACCGAAACCTGGCCCCACAAACCCAATAAATCTTGAAACTTCAGGTCACCTAAAAGATAATTTTAATGCTTTGACTTGTTTGCAACTTTACACAGGGTCTAATTTTGTAGTCTATTGCTCTTCCCTGTTTACTGACTAAATATCTGTATATGAAAGACAGCTGCAGGATTCTGCTGAACTGCTTTTAAATACTGGGCACTTGGTTTGGCTCTTGTAGGAGGCATGTCCAAAGATACAGGGGATGTACCGGGGCAAGGGAGCATGCGCCTAATAGACAACCCAATTGGTCAAAAGGTCACATGGTTCTAGGGGATAAAAGGGAGCGCGAGATTTGAATAAAACCTCTTTGATTCCACCTTATAGGAGAGCTGACAGCATTCTTTATCATATAAAGACCTCCACGTGACAGGCTCTGAAATATATTTTCAGCCTGAAGGTCAGGTCATTTTTCTTTGCAATCACAAAAATTATCAATTACATAATTCTCAATTCTTTAAATATGTAGTGTGTTTAGAGGAGTTGTCTCAGAATGGAAAGATATTTTAAAAAGTCCAGAATGTTATTAGTATTGTGATAACTTTTCAAAATGAAGATTTCTTCCTCTTCTTCAGCTCCAAGGAGACATTAAATTGAAATGTATATTTTCTCTTCTAGAATGTTGGATCTTTGCTTCAGAGATCCGGCAGAACACAATGAGCAACAATTCCATGGGAATTTATCTTAAGCACTTTTATCACATGAAGCTAAAAAATGTACAAACAGAAATGCATCATAATTTTTTTGAGGAACAGAAACTGCTTACATATGTTTACCTAGAAGAGAGAATTTGCAATGGGGAGATGCAATCTTGAACAATTCAGCTGTATATATGGTCTTAAAGGGCAAAGAACTATTTTAAGTGGCAGCTGATTCTTAACAAACAGCTTAGAATTTTTTAATTAACGTGGGTGACTTTATGGTCTTGAGTTGAATGCCTTGTGTAATTTATGTGAAATTGAAAGGGTTTTCATCACGTCTCCTACCTTGTTTGCTTTTTAATTTCAAGTAACAGAGTCTGAACCAGTAATTCTTGCACTCATCCAACTCTATAAAGGTCAGACTAGTACCTGCACTTTCAGTGTCTGCTGTCAAATAACTTATTGTGCTTTTGGATGTGAAATGGGGTTAAAGCTTTAGTATCAGACTTAGACAATGGCCTCCCTTACTACTAAAGCTTCAGATTTCATTTAGGGCCTGATTACACAGATGCCCTGAAGACTAATTTCTCCCACTTGACCTGTGCTCAAATGCAAAGGTCAAGTTCTCATTGTATGTGACAATAAAAACAAAACTAGTCATTATTCTGTCTCTTAAGATGAAAAGATTTCAGTTCAACTAAATATCAGGAAATATAATACTTTTCCAACAATTTAGCAACTGCACTGTCTCTAAAAACGAACAACACTGAATCCAGGAATAACCTTAATAACTTTTGAAGAATTTAATAACCTTTGAAAACAAAGCTGATCACAAGGGTGGTTGAGAAACTGATAGCACAAGGAAGACAGCTAGTAAGGCTGTGCCTTGCCTGCCAAAGCAACTTACACTAACAGGGAAAAATAATAAAAGTGCTGAAAATTAATACCTACTAAAAGATCAGATTTAGCAACAAAACTAACAATAATGAAGTAGCTGGTGAAGGGTAAGTCATAGGAGAAGCAGCTGAGGCAGCTAGGGTTGTTTAACCTGGACAAAAGAAAGCTCAGGAGTGACTGCATCACTCTCTACAACTGCCTGAAAGGAGATTGTGTCTGGATGGGGGTCGACCTCTTCTCCTAGGTAACAAGTAATATGATAAGAGGACCTAGTCTTAAGCTGTACCAGGGGAGGTTCAGGTTGGACATTAGGGGTGATCAAATATTAGAATAGACTGCCCGGGGAGGTGGTGGAGTCACTGTCCTTGGAGGTGTTTAAGAAAAGATTGGACATGGCACTTAGTGCCATGATCTCATTGACATGGTGGTGTTTGATCGTAGTGGGACTTGATAATCTCTGAGATCTTTTCGAACCTAAACGATTCTGTGAACAAGCATCTAGTCCAACTACATGACTGATTCAGGGCTGACCAAAAGCTACAGCATGTTGTTAAGAACATTGTCCAAATGCCTCTTAAACACAGTTTGGAGGCATCAATCAATTCTCTAGGAAGCCTATTCCAGGATTTGACCCATATCTTGCTGATGAAATGATTACTAATGTACAGTCTAAACCTGCCCTGGCTCAGCTTTGAACCATTATCACATATTACAAAATTACAGAATTGGTAAGATTGGAAGAGACCACTGGATGTCACCTAGTACTACATCCCTGCTCAGTCAGGGTCCCCCACAGCACATTACTAGGAATATGTCCAGACAGCTTTTGAATATCTCCAAAGAGGAAGATTCCATAGCCTCTCTATATACCAGGGAGAAGAGATCAGCACCTGCATCTCCACTTCCTCTCCTCAGGAAGCTGTAGAGAGTAATTAGGTCACAACCAAGGAGTCCTTAGTCTCCTTGTCTCTAAACTAGACAAGCCTGCAGTCCTCAGCTGTCCTTGTAGGACATTCCTTCTGGCCCTCTCACCAGCTTTGTTGCTCTCCTCTGGATGGTTTTGAATGCCTTAACATCCTTAAATTTGGCCCAGAACCACATACGGTACTCAAGGTGGTGATATTCATGAATTTATCAAAACTTATTTATGAAGGCAGAAAGACGTGGCGTATGTTTGGGATAAGCATAAGAGGACACAGGACGTTCAAGCGCTCTCTCCAAACTTTTCAACTCACGTAGAGTTGAGAACATCTGACTGGAAAAGGCTGTGGATGATCTATTTCTAGACAGGGAATAGACTGTGATGACTTTAAAGGAGGATGAATTGGGCAGAAATGTGCCTTAAAACATGACTCAGCTTCCAGGCTATTGCTTGCTATGAGCAGAGCAACAGAAAAGAGAGGCTGAAACGAAAAGCCAGCCTGTCACGGGCTTATACAGTTTGATTGCGGTCTAAACATGACACTGGTAGTTCTTAAAAACTATTTCATATTCTTAAGACAATTAATTTCAGTAGTCATTTTGCAACCAACCGTGTGACCCGCTCTGCTTACAACTTGATTGCCTAATATTTCCCACCAGAAATAAAACTCTTCCTCTTAAATCTCTTCCGCCCTTGATCACAGCAGTTGTTTGAGAAAAAGAATACTATGACTGAAAGAACTGTTTTGTTTAGGGCTTTTTTTTTCTCTACTCAGTCAAATATTATCCAGATCTAGCTGAGCTATCCAAAGTATTTAATTGCCAGATTTTTTTTCTGAGAACAAAGAAAAAGGCCGTGTGCTAAAATAACTGCACGTATAAACTCAGTCAGCTGGGTTCACAGTGCTGCTGCCAGAGTGACAGCTGGTGCTTCACTGAGAACATCTGAGACTGCCAGAGGGGGCGAGAGGGAAGACTGGGGTAAGACTCCAGCCCCACAAAGATCTGCTGCTACCATTGTGGGGCTTCCAGAAAAGGTAAAGTGCACTTTTTTTTTTTTCTCTTGTCTTCTCCTTTGACATTGTAACTTTACTTTCTTCCTTACAGCCTTGCACTTCTCTCTTCCCTCTCCAAGTGACTTGGTGGGCATCTCACAAAGTACTTGTTTTTTTTGTTTTTGGTTTTTTTTTTTTTTTGGTGTTAATGTCACTCTGCATGAATCTCCTGACTCATGGCACCTCTGGGAATTGCACTAGGCAGAAAGCATGCTGGGTTTTTTTTCTCACTCTTTTGTACCTGGTTCTATTTATAGGAGATCAACATAAAACAAGTAGTTTAAATATTTCTGCTTTTCTGAACTAGAAGCAGTGAAAGAAAAGCCTGATGCTCCCAGTTTAAGACAGGGAGAGAGATAATGGGAGGGTTCATTGTTCAGCATTCATTCTCGCTTCTTGAGAACCAATGCTTGGACTCAGTGGTCCATCCATGCCAGCAGGTTACCAAGTTCTTGGGCTTTTCAATAATTTCTTTAAATGGTAACTTTATGCTTCAGTGCTTATACTGTTGTGTAGACCAACAACTATTGGTTCTTCCCAACCATCACTGAAGATTTAGAGTGGCAGATAGGATGCACAGTGTTTTTCTGAGTATAAAACTGGGAAGCTACATACAAATCACTTTCTTCCCATCAAAAAAAGCCTCCTCTGCAAATCCTGTGCAAAAAACTGTTTCTGAAACCTTGTACTCAGTAGATGGAAAGGCCAGAATTTATTGTTTTATAGCTAGTTTCTAACACAGTTGTGATCTCAGAGGACTCCAAACTTCCTTACTGCTGGGAGTGAATGCATCGATTTTGTATGCAACTGCAGAGCTGTCATTTCTGAACTTTCTAGTGCCTTGGTTGGTTCTCAAGCAAACAAATTATAGTACAATCAGATTTTTCTGGGATTAAGAAAATGGAAGCTTTGTAGGGCTTCCCCAGCTGGGTATTTACAAGGTTTGTCAACAGGATGGCAAAGAGATTGGGTCTACTAGGTACTGAACTTAAGTCAGCTGCTTTCTTAGCTTATTTGTGATGCATCTGAGTATAAGGTTCAGATTCATTCAGATATCATTCTTTTAAAGTCTGTGACTCTGTCCTCTAAACGTGACTACTTTCCAGAGGACAAGTGAGATTTAAAAGTCTTTCTTCATTGCTGCTCTGTGATACAGGTAATAAAACTATGATAGCATAAAGCTGATTCTACACATGCAGGACTGTCAGTCATACAGTTGCAGTTTATG